ATTTTATCTATAATATAAATTTACATTTGTATTATTTTATCTTTTTTATTCACGAATTTAGAATTTATTTATATCTTCAATCAAATTTTCTTTTACTTTTTTTTGCAATTTTTCCCCATTCTTCAGCCAATTTAAGTTACAACCACTGCTGAGAATATTTTATTTTATAATTTAATTTTGCATTCGTGATTTTGTTTGTGCGTTTCTCATAGGATAATTTTTGTAAATCACTTTGTGATGCTCTCAGCTGAAGGAAATGACAGCTTTGACTCAAGTGGGTTTCAAAAAAATGTGTGTAAAGTGTTTCTGATGATGATCACTCTTTTCTTTTTTCTTTTTTTTTTAACAACATGATAACTGTAATGACCTGTTATGTAGCATCACCTGCTGGCTAAATGGAGAACTGCCAAAAAAAAAAAGAAAAGGAAAGGAAAAAAAGGGTACAACTATCAAACATTTTGGAAACCACTTTAAAAAGTCTTAACACACCATTATTTAAAAAATAAATAAATGTTAAACTTAAGCAAACATTTAAAACTGAATGAAAATTAACACGAACAATGAATTTGATAAAAGCTAATGAAACTAAAAAACCTCTTATTGCCATCAGGTCGAGTCAAAAACCTAAAATCTCCACTAAACAGATATTCAGACATTATCTGCTAATCTAGAGCAACAACGTTTACAGGAAGGAGTGTGGGAAAGCAGCTGAGGAAAAAAACAGAAACCTTGGTCTTAAAATAGCCTCACAATGGCCATGGAGGCATCTCATTTCCCGCTCTTTCTTGGACCAAACAGACTCTCATTTGACTCCACTTTGGGGTTTGGATCGCGCTCTCGCAGATCAACAATTCCACTCATGAATAAAAACGTTTCAGCCAGAGGGAGAGGAACCAATTTCCAACCGACATGCTGACAACAAAACCAGCACCTTCACCTGCTTAAAACAACCACAGTATTTACAGCAGCTGAATGAATGAAGCTCATCTGTTAGCGGCGATGAAAGAAAAACTGCATGTTCCTCGTAAAACCCTCCCCAAAAACAGTGCATCTGAGTGTCCTTTAATTATACTAATTTTAAACTAAAAATAAGGGGATTTACTTTCAGTTTACTCATTTACGCACCTAAAGTTTGGGCTATATATGCTAAAAAATATACTTAAATGTATTTAATGACACATAAGCTACTCAAGATGTACTTTATTTGTAACATGCTTCTGTCTTTGTGACGCTTTTGTTGATTTTCTTCAACTCAGAAACAAATTAAAACATTTTTTATTAAAGAAATTTTTTAAATATGCTATAATAAAAAAATACTTCATCTGAAGATTCTGAGAAGAGTTGAATAAATTAAAAAAAGGATTTGTTTTAAAGTCAGAAACGGCAAGTTCCACTTTCTGCCACTAGAGGGCGCACAACCCGGGAAAATTAAAACCCATAAGACAAACTTCTAAACTGTGTGGGTAAAACAGAGAACTGTATCTTTTTTTTAAATTAGTATCATGGTTTTTATTTTTCAATTTTTTTATTATTATTTTTTTGTTCCCAGTTGGATGTTTACTCAGAGAGAGAGGGGGACCCAGCATTTGGGCGCTTCAGGTCCCTCCTCCACCAAACGTCAGTGCAAACCTATAAAACTCATCTGAGGCCAGTTCAGCAGCTCAGACTCACTTTCACCTCCTTCAAGCCACAGTCTGCCTCCTCTGAGACACATTAATCCACACGGAAGAGGACTAAATCTGTTGGACTGAGCACCGGACTACAATAAAATCTTTTTTTGTTTCCTCTGCATGAGATTGGATGAAGCGTCTGTTTGAGACTTTAAATTGAGGGATATCTCAAAGTAAAGCCGGATTGGAACACGGAGAAGAATTAAGCCTGGAGTTATTAATGTGCAAATAATAGTAATAATTTAGTTAATAATTTTTCAGACGGACTTTTATTTTTATTATTTCCCCCTCCAGAGTGAAACCAATGCGCGCAGAGAGATGCATCTGGGCAAGGCGCTGCTGCTCGTCCTCCTCCTCCTCCTCCACTGCGCGACCCTGAGCTCCCCTCTGTCCACTTGCGCCACCGTGGACCTGGACTACGTGAAGAGGAAGCGGGTCGAGGCCATTCGGGGCCAGATCCTGAGCAAGCTCCGGCTGACGAGCCCCCCGCACTCCCTGGGACCGAACAAGGTCCCGTACCAGATCCAGGCGCTGTACAACAGCACCAAGGAGCTACTGGAGCAGCTGGGGAGGGATCGGAAGCAAAGCTGCGGTCAGGACAACACAGAGACTGAGTACTATGCCAAAGAAATCTACAAGTTCAACCTGCTGTACGGGCCGCCTGAGAGCAGTGAGTGGAAAGTTCTTTTTAAAGCAACTTTCTGTTGCTTTTTTACGCGTAAAGCGCGTAAAGACGCACCGAACGTGCCAAACAAGAAATAACCTTAAAAATACACATCTCACGAAAATGGTGTTCCTGGCTTCTGTCACTGATTATACTAATGAGATTTAAACATTACAACTTAATAACTTAATTTGCTCTTACTGGCTTCTATTTTAGATCTGTTTATATAAATTAAACATTAAGATTCTGAGCAATTAGACTTTTACTCTCTTTCATGTGTAAAAAAAACAAAAACAAGACAGAATTCTGCATGATGACAAACTTCTGTGACTTATTTTAAATATTAACAAACCTGGCAGGTGATTAAAACCGGTTCGGCACAGCTCGCTTCACAAAGTCTGAACCTGTGTTCCAGGAAGGTCAGTCCCCTCTTTTCCTCCCAGCTTTTTCTTTTCTTTTTCTTTTTTCCCCCCTCTCCCCCTCTTTATGGATCATGTTCCCCTTCCCAGATGTTCCCATTTCCTTTCCAGTCAGGCCCAAATGAGAGGGACATCTGCCCAGGCGGATGGAGGGGGGGGGNGAACAGGAAGGGTTGGATGATACAGGCACCTCCAAATTAACCTTGAAAGATGGAGCTACCCCCATGTTCAAGACAGTACAGGAGGAGCAAAGGCCCCCCCAAAATCACACACACATTAAGGTGCTTGTGGACTAAAAATTACAAAATAAAAAAAGCTGCTGTTAAAGTTAAACTTCCTTATTCCTCACTTCAAAAACTCAATAAACTTGTTTGTTGTTGTTGTGTTTCCCCTCCACCATCACCACCAGTTTGAGCTCTTCTACGTGTTTTCCTGCTCTTAAAATCATAAACTGGAAGTGGAGAGCTTGTGCCGAGAGAGGGACATGTGTCATTACTCGAAGAAAGATTCAATCAGCATGTGGTTTTATTGAGAACACAGAAGGGGGATAAAAGCTGTGTGTGAGTCCGAGGCAGAGCCAAGTTCATGGAATCGCAGTTCCTTTGAAATCAACAGGTGTTTCCCAAAAGCTGAATTTTTCCCTCAGAAATGTTCTGTTTTGAATCTCACAGTATGATTCTGATAAAAAAAAAATGAAAAAATTAAAATTAAAAAGGATTAGCTTGAGCTGGTTCTGCTTTTTAGATTCAGAGTTGAGATAAATACATATAAATCTTTAATGCTTATAAAACATTCACATTATTGAGATCGTTTTTCTTTCCTACCTTGTTTTTTTTTTTTCAGCACATATCTTGCCCTGCAATTTTTGTGCTATTTCAACTATTTATAAATCAAAACATCCAGCTTCTTCAGGACATTCCAGCTATGACTTTTGGGAGTTCAGCAATATACACTTTTTGAAATATTTAACTTTTTTTGTCATGTTTTTCTGATTAAAAGGGGTTAGAGCTGTCTTTAACATCCTTAAAACTCTTTAAAATGTCCAGAAATATTCACTGTACTTTTTAACTTTGGGTCTAGTTCTGCCTTTTTTTTAAAAACTCTTTCTACTAACTTCGGCTTCCTTTTTGGCTTTTATTTAGACAGTTTTAACTGTTTTCTTTGTCAACTATCATTCTGACTTGCAATTCTTTTTCTTATTTAAACAGATTTGTAACTTTTTGTATTTCTTTCATTTTTTTGCTATTTGAAGTTTGTTTCTTTTAGCTAGTTTCTGCTAATTCCAGCAGTTTTTTGTGCCTTTAGCTACTTTCATTTTTTGAGATTTTTTTCAGCTATATTCACCTTTTTGAGTTCATTTTAGCTTCTTAATGCTTAATACAGAATATGTGCTCATTCTGTTTCTTTATGATACTTTTTTAGCGTTTTTAAGGATAGTTTTAATTATTTAGCTCAGCAAAATATTGTTCAGCATACTGCATTTTTGCAGGAAAAGCATTTTTTTTGTTTATTTTAGTGTTATAGAGGAACAAAGACAACTGCATGAATTAATTTGTAGCTTTTAGGAGTAGAACTGAGTTCTTATGTTTGGACATCGCTTCAACTGGCATTGACTCAAATTATTCCACATTTTCACTCCAAACACAGAAAAAAAACTCCTTTTAACCAAGTTATGATAAGTGGTTCAACCAAACTGAGCTGATAAAACAATTTACTCAATTTAGTGGAACCAGCTGGCTTAACTTGGTAAAGTAAATTCAACACTTCAGGTTTTTTTAGAGCTCACAAACCTCTTTACATGATGATTTATATGTATGATTTAAATTTGTAACTGGGTGTTAAATTTTAAAGTAATGAAGTAAAAGTACCATTTTTATGTTTTAAATGTAACAAAGTGAAAGTAAAAGTTACAAAAAATAAAATAAAATACAGATTGGGGAAAAAATTACTTAAGTACCGCGGCAAATTTTGTTATTTTGTCATTTGTGTTCATCTCCAATTACAGATGTACATCCACTGCTTACTCACTTGAATTTAAATTCAAATCTGTCCACTGATTTAGATATTTTGCTAACAGACAGACAAATACACAGACAGGCAATAATGTTATCAGGTGATATGATGTTAAAACTTTCATGGCTTGAAGAGTTAAAACATTAAAATGTTCAGACACTGAGTGAACAAAACCAGGTTTCAGGTGTTTTGTCTCATTCTTCCTGAAAAAAAACAACAACATGAACATTAAAGGGCCATTGTTGTAGTTTTTATTGGTTTTGACACATTCTTCATTCAGGTCAGTTTGGGACATAAGGAGCTTCAGTCCAGTATTTGTATCTCTTCTCCCGCATCTTTTGTGCTGCGAGCAGCGTGTGGTTTGGCATCGTCTCGTTAAAAATAAAAAAAACCTGCACGTCCGGTGAAAAGATCTCAAGTGTTGGCTCGGAAATCGTTTCTGTATTAACCTCATCGTCTCAAAAGTGTAAAAACAAACAAAACTAAAGGTGGGCTATGCCGTGGATTTATTTAATTTTTTTAAAACGATTCTCTCTTTTTGCAGATGATCTGTTCTACTGCCCTAAAGGCAGTTCGAAGATTTTCAGATTTAACGTCGCCGCCATGGAGAGAAACTCCACCAACCTCTTCAGAGCAGAGTTTCGGGCCCTGAGGCTCCCAAACCCAAGTGCCAAAAGGAACGAGCAGCGGATTGAGCTCTACCAGGTGCGTAAAGGTACCGTTTTCCTTGTCCTTCTATCCATATTAAGCACAAAGCTTTTTTTTAATCAAAGCAAGGCAATTACTTTTTAATGTTAAAGGACTTCAGTTCCTGTTTTTAAATGAGCAGATGCTGACTCAGCTCCACTGCAGAAGCCAGTTAGATCATCATGACCTGATCAAAGTTGATTAAAAACACAATAAATGTAACTGTTTCAAGCCTCTTGATTAGGATTAGGTTTTGGTATATTTACCTATACGACAGAAAGAGTTTAGGTTGAATTAACTACTGTATATGCTATTGCTAACTGAATTTGGGAAAAATTAACTAAAAAAACCATTCAGCTTTAACTTTGTTCCTCAAAATAAAACAGAAGACAAAGTTGGATTCATTAGATTTGGTGCCTCCATCAAACTGATTTTATTTGTCATACAGGAGTTTGGACAAAAATCTTGAACAATAACTCCAGTTAGGACTGGATCAAGATGCCTGCCTCAGCTAATCCACCATAGCAAACGCAAAAATAGCTCCAACTCGGTTTATTTAGATTTTTAGATGTTTGAAATTGGAAAGCAAAAGAAAAAAAACATTTTTAACATTTGCTGAAAATACTTATACCTCGTTCTTTGGGTTGTGTTGATGTCTGCTCACTAAGTCATTTTCTGGTCTCATCACTCATTGAACAACCACAACAATTAAAGATACGCTAGAGATTAGAAAGGTGTTGTTCTGCTTTTGTCTCTCCGAAACCATTGTAGTGAATGTGCATCGTTGTCCTGCAGATCCTGCGGCCAAACGAACACATCAGGAAGCAACGTTACATCGGAGCGAAGAACGTTCTGACCCGAGGTTCTGCAGAATGGATCTCCTTTGATGTGACTGACACGGTGCGGGAGTGGCTGATAAACAGAGGTGGGGGGAAAGCTCATTTCACCACAGCCTATGATGTTTACATTATGTAATTAATAAAGAACTGCTGATCATCAGGATCCAATTTGGGTTTGGAAGTCAGCGTCCACTGTCCTTGCAATAACTTTGGCCCAAATGGCGAAACCTTCGACAACGACAACAAAGTGCTGGAGGTGAAATTTAAAGGTTGGTGTTTAATATTTCATCCTACCGCATTTATCTGACCAAATGAGGGACGGATTTCTGCAATGGTTTTGAAATGTAAAGCTGGATGAGTCACATTATGTCACATGTAGACCGTTTTTTTAATATTGGCTCAGTGGAAATTTTAGCCCTTTTTGAACTCAGCACCCCCTGAAAAATGAACCAACAGTGTAATATATTGTTATATTAATCTTAATAATTTAGTAAAATGCTCCTCAAATGACTGGGAAGTGTGTAGGTTTGAGCAGATTAAAAAAAAAGAAAATCCCCCCCTAGGACTGCTTCACTCCACAACCGCTAACACGAATATGTGTCTCTCATTGTTATAAGCAGATGTTGGCAGGTATGACTTTCTGAGTTTCGTTTTAAATTCAACACGTAGTTATTAACTATTTTAATTGGACACTATTTCATTTTGTATGTGCATGAATGCAGGCAGAGAGATTTTGACAATCTTCTTTGGACTAAGCCCCCATGAAGGTTAGATCCTAGAACTGCCCCCGGGTTGGCTACATGTTCTCCAGCCATTCTTCAAATTTACTGCCAAACAAATGAAATAATTGTTGAAAATGAAACCAGGTGATTTGCAGTCTTAGTTATTGTGTGGTTGTTTGTTTACAGTGTTTGTTTACAGTGTTCAGACGGAAAATTGCTTATTCAGCACTTTTCCTCACTATAATAAAATGCATCAGTTTAAAGATGCTATCATTCCTTATGTGGGTTAGGTGTTGATGGAGAGGAGGAGTACAGCCGCTTGGATCTGGACAACCTGAAGAGGAATAAGGAGCATCTTCCTCACCTCCTCATCATGATGATCCCACCTCATCGCCTGGAGACTCAGTCCACACACCGACGCAAAAGAGCGCTGGACACAAACTACTGCTTCTCGTAAGATGGACTCATTATTAATATGAACTAATAATTTGGAGGCTGTTTATACAACATTAGCGTGTCCTCATCACAGAAACACAGAGGAGACCTGCTGTGTTCGCCGCCTCCACATAGATTTCCGGCGTGACCTGGACTGGAAGTGGATCCATGAGCCGAGTGGGTACGACGCCAACTACTGCTCGGGGCCCTGCCCTTACCTGAGGAGCTCAGATACGACGCATAGCTCGGTAAGAAGCACTTCAGACGAGGAGAAAACAAAATCATATCTTATGATTTGCACAAAGTGGTGAGGAGCCATGACGCCTTTTTGAGTTCCACATTTAAATATTTTCATGTGGGACCTATGCAAATGTGAAAATGAACCTTATAAACAGTGCCCACTTCCCTCTTCTTAATTATTTTAAATAATGACGGATCCTACATTGCCTATATTATGCTTCAAAAAATACTCTTTTGACTGTGAAAGGTTTTGTTTGGAATCAGTTTTACTGCATGGGCAAAATGCAGAAATTACTGTTTGTTAAAATAACTTTAAAGTGCCTGTGACATCAAATTTTTGCAATAAATATGAATACATTTTTGGAAAGATAACATTGAAAACATATTGCAAAAATAAATTTCACACCGCTGAGACGAACAGCTGTTGAGAAATTTGCATGTGAAGTAACAGGAAGTGATGTCAAAGGGGAATGTCAGAGCATTTAAACGACTAACAACACAGGACTGTAGAGACGAATCTGATGTTACTTTAGATTACTTTGAGTCACTATCTGAGAGAAATGAAGAAGAGTCAGAGTTCAAGTAATATTCTGTAAATAAACAAAAAAACAGCGAGTTTTCTAACTTAAAAAGTTTCCCTTTGATGTCACTTCCTGTTTCGCTTTGTCTGAGCAAAGTTCAAAAGAAAATATACCAGTTATGTGACAAAATGGGTAAATTTGTGTATTATGCTAAGTTTCCGAAATATAACAATGTTTTCTTTGTTGTATTTGAAGAATTTGCATGTGACAGGCACTTTAAACGTTGCGCCATAATGAGGTCAACTTTCAGCTCGCATTGGTTTGATTAGCATCACAAACAGCTATAAGACGCACAAATCAAGTCTTCAAAAAATAGCAGGGAGTACCTATTAGGAGGTAAACACTGAACATTTTTTCATCTACTTTCTATTTGCTCATATTTTGATTAAAATATTTTAAAAAACTCAATGATTTTGTTTAATTCAGAGCTGAAAAGAAAGATAGTTCTTATAAAGATACATTTACTTAGTTTTTATTTTGCACTGGCAGCGACACTTAAAATAAGACAGTTTTAGTTAATGAAACATTCAAATTGAGTGCTGACTATTAGATATATCAATATGGGATATCAGTAAAAAAAATAAATGAGTATTTTTTTAAATGTCAATTAGCTTGAGTCACAGTTTGACTCAAACTGCTGCTCAAACAGATTGTTTATGGTTTTATACTGAACTAGTGCTTATATGGTTGATGAGTTTCTTGGCGATCCACATGATCCGTTTTTTTTTTTTTTTCAAGTTTAATTTGCTTTCAATGTAAACTAAGCTAGCAGTCAGTAGTTACCTATGTTTTTTTTAGGGCCGTGCACTTGGGGAACATTTTGATGTATGCTCAGACAGCAAAGACTCATGGGACATTTCATAAACTAATAAAATATGAGTATTTTTCGGTCTTATAAAGTGTTAAAATCTACATGTGTTTAAATCTTATCTAAAAATTTATTATATTTTATGAGTGACAACTATTTGCACCTATAGCCTTTGCACATCTTTATTCTAGCTACTTTTGTGTTTGCTAACATTGATTAGCTTTGGCAGCCACTTTGAATCAGGTTGACTCTCGAAGTTTCTCACATCAATAAAATTTAAAGTGAATTAGACTTTTAACCTTTCTGCTTTTTTTTTTTCCACGCCAGATGCTGAGCCTGTACAACACTCTGAATCCAACCGCCTCTGCCTCCCCCTGCTGCGTTCCTCAGGACCTGGAGCCCCTTACTATACTCTACTACTCTGGACGGACCCCTAAGGTGGAGCAGCTCTCCAACATGATTGTCAAGTCCTGCAAATGTAGCTGAAAGGACACCCTGAGGACAGGTTGTATGGTGGGAATATAGCAGACCCAACCCATGTGCTAAGTTTTTTAATTTTATTTTTATTTTTTTGACTCTGAGCTGTGACGTAAACTGACCCTGTGGCTTCATGGCTGTGTTTTGATTTTTGGGAGGTTTTTTGGAACGACAAACTCTGGAGAGGAGCATATTTTTAAAGACTAATTAAGATCATCTTCCTTTTACCAGCTATATTTTTTACTTCCCCTCAAGTCAAGCCTGAATGAGAAGTAGTTATTTTTTTCTTTTTACTTAAACCCACTATGAAAAACAAAAATAAAGAATGTCTAAGTACTTGTATTTATATGAAGGGAGCTCGGTGGTGTGGTCTTGTAATCCTGAGGCTCATGGGAGTCTAACAGACAACAACCTTTGTTAACATTGATTCTCAAAGATCAACAACCTGCAACAAAATAAAAATCAAAACCATATTTAAGCTAAATTAAATCGTCTATAAAGTCAGTCATTCTACTTTCTTGTTTCAACCCAGCAGACTCATTTTATGTTTTGCTTCCAGATTTTCGCTCGTGCTCAGTGCACTGGTTGGCAGAAAATAAATCTCAGAGCTGGACAAAATGCTGAGTAGAAATAAATATTATCCCTTTTCCACTAGCGCCTTTACAGCATGGTTCGACTTGGCTCTCCACGGTTCCAAGGCGTTTCCACTAGCAAGGATTCATGGAACCAGTCCCATTTTCAGAACTTACGGTACTTCGCTGTGGTTCCAAGTGTACCACGCTGGCCTAAAAATGTGATGTCAGAGGACTGTTAGTCACTGATTGGTTAGGAAGTGGAGTCACTGGTTGCATCACAAGAGCTACTCTTACAACAACCTGATACACCATTTGCAATAACAACACTACCATGCCCTCCATTGTTGTGTTGTGTATCTTTTCGGAGTCTTCTTCTTCTACTGTGTTTAATGTTGACTGATAGATAGCTTAATGGAGCATAACCACCACCAGCTGGTAAGGTGTGTGGTGTCAGTTTTCGGACTCTGGGACCACCTAACTTTACAATGAACCTACCCACTAGAGCTGTCACTAGCTATATTTACAAGGACATAAGTAATCGGATGAAACGGCCATTCGGAATAAAAATGCGTCATGTAAACACCCCATTCATGTGGTCCGGAATTGTGCCTCTGAGGGTGGCAGCACGTTGGAGTAGCTCTGTTCCTTTTATTGAGGTTTTCTTTTATTTTCAGGCGTTCATTCCTGCCTTTCTGCAGAAAAAGTAACGTTTTTTGGATGGCTGTTCATTTGTGTTATGGGTGCTGTGCAGCTGGATTGGTTTTGCCAATGCTTTTTTATACTTTGCTTTTTGTTATGATGCGTAACCATAGCAACAGGGTGGTTTACAACAGGGAGCAGTTGATTAATATTGCAAAATCTGAAATAATATATCAACTGAAGCCGCAAATCCCAGAGGAGTTGAAAAGGAGGCATCATGGATGCAGAGCTGGAGCAAAGAGGCGAGAGAGAAGGAGGAAGTTCAAACCATCACTTCCATCAATCCTAATGGGCAACGTGAGATCATTAGCTAAAAAACTGGATGAACTTCAAGCCCTGACAAGGACTCAGCAAGAGTATAGGGAATGCAGTATTATGTGTTTCACTGAAACAAGGCTGCAGGATCATGTCCCTGATGCCAACATCTCTCTGCCAGGCTTCCAGACTATACGAGCAGACAGAGATTTAAAGAGCAGCGGGAAAAAGAAAGGAGGTGGATTAGCAGTGCTTGTCAACAATAGATGGTATCATCCAGGACATGTTACTGTGAAGTTTCGTCACTGCAGTCCAGACATTGAACTCTTGGCAGTAAGTTTTCGTCCATATTATTTACCAAGAGAGTTCACCTGTGTTATTTTGGCAGCTGTTTACATTCCACCCTCAGCTTTTGCTGACAATGCATGTGATATCGTCAGTTCCGTTGTTGCTAAGATACAGACACAACACCCCAATGCATTTGTGGCAATATCTGGTGATTTTAATCATGCCTCACTCTCTGCTACACTGCCAACATTTCAACAGTTTGTCAGCTGCTCTACCAGAGAAAACTAGACATTGGATTTGTTTTACACAAATGTTAAGGATTATTATATAGCCAATGCAAGACCTCCTCTGGGTAATTCAGATCACAACCTTGTTTATCTCTGCTCAGAATATAAACCACTTGTTCAGAGACAACCTGTAACTACAAGGACTGTGAGAAAGTGGTCACAGGAAGCTGAAGAAGCCCTACAGGGATGTTTTGAAGCTACAGATTGGATTGTTCTTTGCCAGCCACATGGGGATGACATAAATGCCATGACTGAGTGTGTGACTGACTATATAAACTTCTGTGTGGACAACACCATCCCCAGCAGAACAGTGAGATGCTTCCCTAATAAC